TCTGTGCCTTGGCATTTAAAGCTGGACAGGTGCTCCACCTCCAGAATGTTGCTCTTAATGGGCATAGACAGTGGGTGTAGCAATCTGACCTCCTCTTCATTCACCACAGAGCTCAAGTCTAACTCTGTTAACCTGATCACACACTCTTATGACTCCAGAGACAGAGATACACCTCTACATCGGCATATTTAATCAAGGTGATATAAGTTTAAAGAAAGAAAGAAAGTAGAGGAAGAGATATTTGTGCTCAAGATATTTTTGCTCTTGCTACCCTGTGGTTGTGTAGTTAGACAATGCAAAAACAGCATAAAACCAGAGAGCTTTATCTTATCTGAGCCTGGTGACTTGATGTTAATTAATAAACCAAATTAATAGATTTCCACGGATCTCATTTCAGGCATGTGCTATGTGTGTGCTTTTGCGCTTGTGCTGCACATGTATACAGGATAGAGATGCATCTTTTATTCATGCCACTGTGACTTGCAGGAGCCATCTTGAAATTACATCTTTAATGGTCATTGATCCACTTCACCCCAGGGAGCTGGATAGTATAAATGTAGTCCCAACACAGACCCTTTAAGTAGTGTGCAAGGTTGTCTTACACTGCCGAAATGACTGAAAATGTATTTTCTTGTAACTCGAAAACTTCTTTAAATTCCTGAAGTTAATTCTTATTTTCATGCTCACAATGTCACTCAGAGTCCCATCCACTTCAACGTCATCTTCTTTGAAATAAGCTGCAGGAGCTATTGCCTCTTCACTTCCCTCAATAGCTCTTTGCAGAGCACACCTTAAAATAATGATGGCCACCTTATTCTGCTCTCACATGCAGTAGTCAAGGACAATTACCTATAAATAAAGGAGTAGCCAGCACTATTTCAAAAGGTTGTTCAGTCGCTGTTCAACTCTTCAGTGAACGGGCAAACTTGAGTGATAGTGTACTAAAAAGTCAGCAGACGACGACCTAAAATAGTGCGAGCTATATCTGCAGTAATAGTTCCTTGTCCTTGAATAACAAGTTTGACAACAGAATAGGGATGTGACCGCAAGCGAATTTGAATCAAATCTTTGTGTTTTTTCCCTTAAGCCCCCTTGGAATAGAGTTATCGCGTAACATGATGAAGCAATAACCTCTACAGTTTAGGTCAGAGAGTATGATAATACGAGTCCGATAGCGAACATCCCCACCCTTATTTGAAATAAATATTCATTTCATCTCTGCCTTGCTTGGTCTCCACACAGCTCCCTCTGGTTCAGTGGTGTGTAAACAAGTGCTACATGTGGTGATATTGGCAGAGGTCTCTCTGGGTTACGGTGTGTAACTGAGATAGAAATATATCATTACTGGGTGGGGACTGGGGGATCTGAGGGACAAAGAGACTGAGAAATAAGAATATTGGATTCTGTTCCACACACACAAGCTTATGTCCTTACATGCGGGCTGTCTGCTCCATCTGTCTGTTTTGCTCTCGCAGACACACACATACGCAGATACACACACAGACACTTAGCATAGGGTGTCCGTTAACTGCATGCGAATGGGTGATGGACTGCTCCAGTGGCTCTGCCGGTAATATAATCTTCTCTATTCCCCCAGATCCCACACCAATATGTCACAATTGTCATTTATTCCCAGCATGGTCACCCACAATCAGATGGCTTTTCACATTGAACACACCCTGATCCTGTCAGGATGATGAACACTTCAAGTGCACTGACACACACCTACACATGCATACATACATTGTGTATTATCATGTGTCACTCTTTGTGTTCATGTTTATTTATTTATTTATCGTCAGTTTTAAGAAGAAAGTCAGGCCACCAGAGAGTGGCTTGTACATTTACACACAAATACATTGTGCGTTGGCGTCATATATAACAAGTCAGACTGACTGTGTCCAGATAACAATTCACAGCTCCTTATTACTATGAGAAAGTGAATCAATTAGTGGAAGAAATGCATTTATGGTGTGACAAAGAATAACTAAATGTGTCAAAGTGTACGTGTCAATCATAATCTCAAGAATAGATTTTTTCCTTCTGAACTAAACATGTCCTGAATACGTTTGACAAATGGATCACACTGAGCGATAAACTGCTAATTACAAATAGACACCTACTTGTCAGGAAAGACAGAGTATTAATCAAAGGATCAACGTTTCCTTCACCTTTGAAACCAACAGCATAACCAACATTTATACATACTTTTCTTAGTTTATATATTATTATTTCTATGGGTAAAAAAAGATAATGTGACAGCTGCTAATGGAAACATGTAAGGTTCATGGATTTGATTTGATTAGAGGGGAACTTCTGCAATGTTAAAAATCAGATTTGGCATTTGTCTTCACAAACACACTTTTTTTAGCATAAAGGATGTTCTGAGGAAGTCCGGAGAAGCGTGATGACACAGATTCAATATCATCTCCTAACTACAGTTAATTAAATGGAAAGATACCATGATAACTGCTTAAAACTGTGTGGAAAACCAGCATTGATTTGGGCTTATCTGCTTGCTTATCTGGACCCTGGGAAACCCTAATGCGAGATAACAGGATGAGCTGTCTGGGCTTAAGCTTGGGTAAAAAGGGTGTCACGGCAGACGGTGAGAGGGCTTTTTGGTGAATTCAGTGAAAACATCACCTCCGATTGAAATTCTTGACGAGTCCAAAAGCAGATCTGACAAGGATCTTCTAATCTGACATTTGTATAAAGTCTCAAGGTTCTGCTTTCTGTTCTGGGACAATGTTGCCAACATTTCTTTTACAAAGAGAAAAACGACTACATAATGCTGATGTTATTTTTTCCTTTCGCTACATAAATCATTATATGTATAAAACTGCGTAGTTTTCCTAGTTTCAACAGTGTTGGAAGTTATATTCACTGCAGAATACGTTTACACAGGAGGCAAACCTGAGCACACTATCTGCGTCCTTTCTGGACAAAGGACTACAACCTTGTCGCAGTGAATAATATACTAATATAAAATTGTACAAGGCCCAAATTAAAGATAGTAGTGTGCCAAGTTGAGGAGAGAATTATAGCATCTGACCTTAATAAGAAAGTATATCCTCTTGAGACTACCTTCACTTCAAACCACCAAGGATATCTCTGGGACTACCTGTTAACTTTCTGTGGTAAATTAAAAGAACATTATGTCCTGGCTATGTTTCCATTTGCCTTACAGGGAGCTCTTCTCTTAGTAGTGGGCCACTGGGAGAAGCAATAATCACCCGCAGAGACACAATAAGCCTGTAAGGAAAAAATACTCACTCTGCTAATTAGCATGTACCCTTTTTCTATAAGCCTCAGAAGGGCAACAAGAGGAAATATAAAGTGGAGTGACAAACTACTATAATACACTAGTTAGATTACAAAAATTAAAACAAACAAACAAAAACTCTAAACAATATGCAACTTGGGGATCTACTCATAAACATAGAATTTAATAAGTGAAAGATAAAAGTGTGATAATGGTTATATTTTAATAAATGATGTGCAAAACATAAGGTTTTGTCAGTGCATGAGAATAAGCATAGGAATAGGAAAAGCATAGGTCTATTGGCAGTTAGCATGCTGGTTGCTGTTACCAGGTGATATTACGTGTTTTCTAATAGAAACTTGTATTGCAGAGTTTTTAAAAATACTATATTAAAAATATTGTAAAACACACTGTACATTAATCTAGGAACAGGAATAAACGTGTGCCAGATAGAAGGGATGCCTAGTCAATTTTTATACCAGAAAAGCAAAAAAATATCCCAAAAAACAAATAATAAAAAACCCTGATAGCTGAAACAGAGAGCATTAATATGCAAAGTTAATAAGCAAAAATCATGCACGCTTTGGCAAAAATGATTTTTGTGGTTTATTAATCCTTTGTATAAGCAGGGAAATGAACTCTGTGAAGTGTCTGTGTGTTTTGCATTCCAAATGCGATTTTATTTTATGTTTTTCTACATTTAATTGGACATTTAGGATGTGCAACACCTGGCTGCTTGTTATTCTCACTACTGAGGTTCAGTGATCTGTTGGGTTATACAAAGATTTTGAAAGTTTATTTCCAAACCTGCATTGCTTTTTGCAAGTGATTCTCAGTCTTGTCTCTTTGTTTGCACTTGCAGTCATTTAAATTAGAGAACAGTGATTTGCATTTTGTTATCTGCCTTTAATCTGCTTTGTGAAACAGCATAGAGACCATGGTAAAAGTTACGCAACTGTGCAGTTGATCTGTGACAGTCGGTCCCACTGGGTTCTGCATTTTATTTGATACAGAACCGCATCTGTTTCTCTATTCCTGAAGAACCTCATTTCATCATTTCATGTCACTAGCTCTCTTTTCTTCAATATTCTCTCTCTCTCTCTCTCTCTCTCTTGCTCTCCCGTTCAAACAATTACAAAGCGGATGGTTCATCAAGTAGAACAGAGCAGGAGCAGGGTGGAAATGAGGTGTGTAGTCCAGTCAGTGTGATTTAGAACAGCCCTCTGATAACAAGGGAGGTTAATGTATCGGTCTCAGGCCAGAGGACACATGCTGAATCTGCTCTATTAGAAACAACTTGTTTGGAACAAAAATACACTGTTGAGACATCCACTGCAGCAGTTTCATGGTGCCAGTTTTATGAAAAAGACTTTCTGCCCATTTTCAAAGCATTTTAAAAAGGCCAATTTTTCTGGCATGTTTGTGCTCTGTTTATTACACAGCGTGGTCTAAGCCATGCTGAAATGTGATAATCAATACTTTTTAGTATCTGACAACACAGTGAAGATGGGGATGACTCCCCAGAGAGAACAGTTAAAATTGTGGGCCTAACTGTTCATTGCAAAATGAAACTACAGTTCGATATTAGAAAGTAAATAATTATTACTGTAACAACATGGCTAATATCAGAGAATCATTATCTTTTTAAAACTATAATAAGTAACTAAACTGCTTCATTGAGAGAATGCTAGGAATTACACGATCGGATGTAAATGCAGATACAGATATCACATACCTTTGATCTCCTTTTCATTCCTGAACCAGCGCAGGTCGGCGGCAGGCTTGCTGCCCTGAGTGATGCAGGTCAGAGTGATGTGGTCTCCCTCCATGGCAGGCTTCGTCAGGCCATCGATCTCTGGCTTCTCTGGCACACCTGAAGGATAGATGAAATCACCACGATGGAACTAATTCACACACAGCGGTATGTCATTATGCAACAATAATATTATTCCTTATTGAAAGTTCTCCCCCAGCTCACGCCCCTGCGGGGAGATTAGAGAGCAGACTGCAGAGCAGCATCCCTGAGCAGTGTCCTGCTGGAGAACACATCAGTGAGAATTCATGCTGGCACATCGGTGGATGGTCTCTAACAACTGGGCCATCTCCTGCTTTAAGGGTCGTTTCACTAAAATTACAAAGAAACATTTTTCTTACATACATCTAATGTGGGGGCTTTCAAAGTCTGAGATCCTGATTATGTTATTTGATCCCATAGACATTCAACAATTGAGCCAAGATAGCCTAATATTGCTGTTTGACACATACAGAAAAAGGTCTTTCTTAAGGCATTTATTAATTTCTGACTCTGGGAAAGTGAGAAAAACAGAAGAATCCTTCTCTGAACTAGCTCTTTAACCAAATCAAACACATTTAGGCTACTCTATGTGATCTCCTTTTGATAACCAATGTAATAACTAAAGTAATATTTTTTCATTTCCATTCACTGAACCTCCCCTGAAACAGTTTGGAGCCCCCTGCGGAGGCCCGCCTCCCAAACCTCTGATATCTAGCCATGCAGATATAGTTATGATTTTCTTTGACTGTAATGTGAGATATCTGTCTTCCCCCCTCAACTCAGAAACAATAGAGGTGAATAAAGCTTTCTTTGTGATGCTCACAGAATTGACAAATTACATTTAGAAGTTTTCACTGGAACTATTTTCTACCAAAGAAATGGTAGCTGTGATGACAGAAAGCAAAATAAATAAATACATAAATGAATAGCTAAAGAGCAGAAGTCAAGTTGTTTTTACCTGTGTGTACATGTGAGTAAGCAAAGGTTTGTGACCACAGAGGAGGCCACGAGGTTGTACAGAAAATGTTCATTACTGGCCCTTCCTATAATGAGTGTTTTAAGTGTGTAGTGTCTGCCCTTCTAATGTCAATGAGCAATAGGGATGCCTCAGGCTGAGTGACTGAAAGGTCTGTCAGTCAATGCCATTGACTGACTCTGGCCTTGTCTGTCTCACCACCTCCTGTAAGGTTTATTACCAGACTTAAAGGTCTTCCTGTTTTCTGTTTACCAGACTTTTGCATACACAACCCTAACAATAACTGCTGCTTGGTAGACACAGTCAGTGTTGGATAAATTACTGAAAAATAATAATTACTTATTCTTATCTCAAAAGTAAAAAGTAAGGGACTGTCAGCTATATTATTTTAGTGTTGCTGTTGGACAAGACAAATGTATCTATTATTAATACTCCCAGTCACCAGAGGGAAGCAACTACACCTATTGTCTTGGTTAGTAGACAAGCGGTTTTAGTAGAATAACCCACATGAATATACACATTAACTGAGCTTTGCTACAGTATTTAGTTAATACTTAATTATATTTAATGAACGGAAAGCAATAACTGTCTGGAGCCACCGTGAGGTCGGGTGACGCAAACCGGAAAATCAACCGGATACGCTTGAGTGGGCTGATTTTCTTCTGGATTTGTCCTTCATTTTAAAATGTAATTAGTTACATTACTATTTACTAACCTTATTGCCAAAGGAAGTGGAATTACAGGAAAAACGTTATTTCATAATGAGTTCGATGCATGGTTATCAGGTGTGTAAAGCCCAAGTGTCACTATATTTAACTAAGTACTGTGGAGTGTGTCTAGTGAATGAGTAAATGTGGGTGGCTTAACTCAGAAAAGTGTTAGAGGTTTTTTCTCCAAGACCAAACGAGAACAGATCAAATACAATGTTCATCTTATACAGTCACGTTCCCCTTGGGTGGCTAGAGGCTGCAAAGCTTTAATCTTTCACTCCGTTTGTGTGTAAGTGTAGAGTACCGTGGGTGTGTGTGTGTTTTCCCTGCTCATGTGTGCATCGTGGATTTATCTGCACTGTGGTGTATTCGTGTGTGTGCATGACTGTTTAAGCATATCCAACAGCGTTTTCAAGACATGAAAAAGAAATGAGAGCTCGATTTCTGATGCGAGGTGAGAAAACTGGATTCCGATAATTCCTGTGGTCATTGTGAACACTGCATACACATTTTAGAAATATGCCTCTTACATAAAGTTTAGAGAATCAAAGTGAGTTACTAATAAATAATAATTTAAGTTTTAGCCAAGCTTTCATGGCTCTAGGGATGGCAATGTCAGTCTGTGGGTTGATCCACCACTTTGGTCCAGACTGAAATATCTGTCGGATTGATTTCCATGAAATTTTGTACAGGTACTCATGACAACTAGAGGATGTATTCTAATAATTTTGCTCCCTTGACTTTTCCTCAATCGTCACCATTAGGTTCACATTTGTGGTTTTGAGTGAAAACAACTCTTGAATGAAATTTATTGCGCATTATTACGTGCCCCTCAGGATGAACTGTAATAACTTTGTTCATGCCTTTTACGTCCAGCACCACTACCGAGGTCAACATTTTAATTTGTTCATTACTTTTTTTATGACCAATTACTTGCAAAACTAATGACCATCAGACTCAACTGTGAGGTAATTAACAAATGCAGCAATGCTAACACACTAAACTAAGATGGTTAGCATTATACTTAAACTTCACCATGTTAAAATAGTCACTGTGGACATGTTCCTGACGGTGGTAATAGATATTTATTCACCAAAATATTCTCAGAAGACTATTAATATGATGCTTGTTTCATTGCACGTGTATTTAACAATCTGGTATTTTGTCCAAATCCATTTCCATGTTTCCCAGTAACACTTACAGTCCATAAACAGTGGCAAATAAACCAGGCCATTCCCAGACCATTTTGTATGTTTATTAAATCTCCCTTTCTGTTTCCTGGCTTGCACCATTAACTATTGTTCAGCATTGCAAAATAATTTTCTCCATATCCTTATTGAGCAGTAGCCTTTAATGTCTGTAATTCTCAGAATGCTTGTTAACACAGAGAGCCAGCTAATGGTCCTGGAGAGCAGTAGCACATCTATTAACATTAGCGAAAAAACTAATTGGCGAGATAATAAGCCCGGTGGCAGGAAATAAGACAATGTTTGTGTGGGGCGATGATCACAACACAAACATTACCAGAGGGCCTAACAGTATGTTTTTATTTGTCTGCCGATGCAGGTATAAGCAACTGGCTATTTGTAACCATACTCAATGTGTTGTATGTCTTATAGGAAAAACAACAAAACAGAACCAAAAACAGTTTCAATTTAAAAATCAACCACAAAAGTCATTCAAAGCTTAACCTCCACCAAGGTTGCACAATTGTCTAGAGGTGTTATTTTAGTAAGACTGTTTTTATTAAGTAACCACACAAAATAGAATATACATAATTAAAGAATCGTTGAATACATGTGTTACATATAAAGTTTTTTTGTACTGTAATTGCACTACCAACAAAATCTAGCAAAAATGTTACAAAATGCCCTTGTAATGTTAACAGACCTATACTGCACAAAAAGAACTCTAGTTTTGCTTGGCCCATTGCTTAACTTTACCACCTAATTTCATTGAAACATTTAAAAACATTTGGTCAACTACAACTATTGTACTCTACCTTTTTTGTCCCATTTTCTGTTTGGTTATATGACACATAATCTGTGAAAATAATCTTGTTCCTCTGCTCCTCCTTATGCTCTTAATGGTATTTAATAAATGAAAGCGACCAATCAGAACCAAGAAACATAATTGATTGTTGAATGTCATTACCAGGGAGATAAATACAGATGCTGGTAGTGAGACTCAAAAATCTTTCTCAGACATTTAAAAAAAGTTACCCCCTGAAGCTTTAAAACTACCCCCCTAAACAGATTTTAATATTGATCAGCTTCTAAGATTAAAATAAACAAGAGCTTCTCTCCAGAGCATTCTGTATGTTCAATAAACCTATGGGGAGAAATTAATACAAGATGCAGATACCTTTTTTTTTTTTTTTACAAACAGCAGCCTACGTCGGTGATCTCCAAAAATAGTTGGTGAGTGGAAAATCAGGGCTATAATAATGTATGAACTAACTTATGTGAACTGGGCATAAGGCATTACACCTATAGGAAACGTCTGAGTAACATTTCTTCTCACTAACCTACAACGTTCGCTTGCTCTACAAATGTGTTCACCACAGACTGACTTTGAATGCTGTCTCATTCTGGCAAATTTAGGATTTTTTAAATTATGGTAAACCAGACAGTTTGTAAACATTTCCTTTAAACAGGAATTCAACTTTTTTTTAGATGCTGTACTTACCTAGAACCGTCAGGTAGGCTTTGGCTGTTCTGACGGGCATGGTGAAGAGAGAACAGGTGTACATGCCTTCATCAGACAGTGTGACATCACTGATACTGATGGTCAGCTCCGACCACGATGCATGTACCAGCTCAATCCTGTTGTCCCTTAAAGCTGGACAGAGAGAAAGACAGACAGACGGCGAGTTAGCAAACGTTACAAACTGTTTTAATGCCAGAACCGTTTGAGTGATGAGAGTTATCTTAACAGTGCTGCTGGGAGACACACTTAAACTTCCACAATATGATCAGAATGTCATGATTTGCAGGCACAATTATTTGATACAGTGTATATTAGAAACAGTTTAATTGACTCTCTTTCTTGTGTGCTCTTCATTTGATAAAACTATTATATTATTATATTATGTCTGTATATTGCATTAATAGCTCTTCTTCTGTGTTTTACATTTGGGTAAATCAGAAACCATGTTGAGCTTGATGACCATTCTAGACATTTATGTATATTTGGGGTACTATCCACACACACAGTCAAATAAACCAATAGCAGAGTGCCATCTCAACCGTACACACATTAGTCTTATCCAACCATAACACTACAAACATGCCAGAAAGAACACAGCAAAGCTCCAAAAAAAAAAATGGACAGCTTCTTGCTTTTGGCATTATTTACAGTCGAGCTAATTGAACTGTTCAAAACGTCAGCTGTTTGCACAAGGATATGCAATTTTGCACATTCATTTTGAAATGCTAAACTTAATGGTATGCTTATTGCCATTGCAAAAAGGTGTAAGGTCATTTTCATTGTTTACGACTTAGAAAGAAAAATAGCACTAGCCACGTCAAGCTGTGTAGTGTATGAATAGATTTATTTGCATAAACAATCAAACGTCGTATTGAAATGTGACCTCAAAAGTTAACTTTCTGTTGAGTCTGAAAATGAATGCATCAGTATATCTCTACAGTAAACCATACTCAGGCAGTCTTCTCTGCTGGAAACCCTCATAGACATTTTACTTATATGAAAATGTAATCTTCCAAAAGACATAACTGGAATGGAAATCAATACTGCAATAACAGGCTGAGAAAGAGGCCTAATGAGAATTTGGCAAGATATGAGAGTTGAAATAGATCTGCTGAAATTGGATGGCTTGTTGAAAGATACTCCATGGTCTTCAAAGTAGACTTCATATCTGCGTTACAGTGGGAGCATGCACTACGTTTTTGAATTACATGATTGAAGTCAGTAGTATCCAAGGGGTTTATTGTGATATACAAAACAAAATTACGCAAAAGACTGGTTTTCACATTGAAAATGGACCATGTGGATTGTTGAATGTAATTGTCAAACATTTCTTTCATTCTGTTTTGGTGGCCTTGGCTGCTCAAGAGATTAATTCAAGCCTTCCTTTTGCAAGTACACGCCTTTCTATAAACCTTATTTAATATGAGCAGCCAAGGTTACTTTGCTTTCACTCTCCATCAAAGTGACTTGGTGCACACCTCGTTCAAGTGCATGGTGTCTGTGTATGTTCGCGTGTGTGACTGCATGTTTGAGTTCAGCAGAAAAGACGCATGACTATTTGTGTACAGATGTTTATATTTTCTTAATGTGAGGCTACATGAAAGAATATTCTTATCTTATGGTAATTTTTGAGAAATCATATAAAAAGTAGAGCGCCCTGGTTTCGTAACCTCTCTACAAAGATCTGAAGAGTAAAGACCATTAGACAGTCTGTTTGTAGAGTACTTTAAAGAGTGTCTGGCTGAATGGTGAGAAACGATACCCAAGGTATCTGAAGTACTGAAACTGTGTTTCAACATCCTAAAGCTTTAAGCCAACATTTAAAAAAGTAATTCTTCTTTCCCATATACCTTAACCTTCCCTAACCCACACAAATCTAGTTTTTCTTAAACTACAATGCAAATCTTACAGATTCCCTCCAGACAAGGATAAAAATACAGTATATTTAAAAATGATCTGCTTGGAACAATAAGGGGTCTGATATGTTTTTTTCTGCAATTTCCACATTGAAATCCTTAAAAGGGCATCTGCTTCTTCTACTTCAATAAAAATGCCTCATCTATGAATATGCAAATGTTATTAATTTCTAAAGTTATCCTGCTGGACATAAGATGTCTTCTACTTCACTGTTAAGTCCATTCAGTGTATATGCACTGGTGGCTTTAAGTTTCTACATCACACTTGTATAGGTTGCATACTGGACTAGATTTTGTTTTCCAAACTATCTGTGATTACAAATTATGATATGGTAAGGTAACAATCAATGATCCGGTAGCCAAGAGAGCTCAATGCCATAGTATTTGGTTGTGTTGTTTGTATGTGCAGTGTGTTTGTGTATGTGTTTCCTAAATTGAAGGGTGTTGAGCTCTCTCAGCCACCTTTGGAAAGGTTTTTTTTGAGCATAGTACAGATTACATAAAATTCTTTATTGGGATGTTTCTATGATCAACTCCCATACCATTGTATTATTGTTTACTTTAGTCCATTTCACATTTTTATACTTTTTATACAATTTAAAAATGTAATTTGTGGCAATTCGTTGTACTGCCAGATATTGAGTTTGATTGACTGAATCAATGCCAACTGCTACAGTATCAGCTGTATTTTCACCCACTTACGGCTGTAATTTGTCAGTCACTGGTAAATGTCTAGCCCTTGAGGTGACTCTGAAAGAAGGTGTTATAGGCACATGCGGTGCATTCTTTTTACAGCTCCTGTATATGCATTGCTGCAATGATCACAGAACTGACAAATGTAGAGAAATGTCAGTGAGCACACAATCTTGTGTCATTTTGTCTGCCAAGGGATGGATAGCTTTTCTTTGCCGGTTTCAGGCTAAACACCTTGCAGTAAATTGCAGTAGAGTTGTAATCAGTTTGGCTAAACGACAGCTGCTCTCTCTCATTTATTACTGCATTTGTTCTGTACCTTCCCCTCCCTCGCAATACCAGTTATCTCTACATGCTGTGTACCGAGCCTGAGCAGGCGTGACACGTTGATATGAGCACATGACATATCTTTAGGCTTGGCGCTGGTGACAGTACATTCCTGTTTCTCTGTGTGTGTATGAATACACATGGCCATCAATGCAAGACCACCGAATTAGATTTAGTCTAACGCACTGCCAGTTCGGTTAATGGTGAGACCTGTCCTGAAAAGATAGTTTCTCATGTTCATGCAGTATGTATACACACAAATGTGTACACCTTGTCTCATCAAAGAATAAACTAAGACAACGAATAGATTATTTGGACTTATTCTAGAGAAAGAATAAATTATCTTTGCCTCTGTATATCTTTCTGTCATTCTTTCTGTTTCTCTCCTTCCTCCTACCCCCACAGACCTCATTCTGTCGACTCAGGGAGCTCCACTAACCTGTGAATGTGTAAAGTTAAACAATGCTTCTTTTCAACTGTTGTCTTATTTGCTTTGGGCAAGGAAGTATGAGCAGGCAAATGTCAGAAAATACAGTTACTGTTGTTGGCTTGCTAGCTGTCGCGATGCAGCTCTGCTTTCTTCCTCCCCTCTCCTCAACAGCCCATTCTGGGAAGTTGTTTGTGTGAGGAATTGGATAGATAGATAGTTGTTGGAAAAGTATACAGAATATTCTAACTTTTTGGTTTACTTAAGCCGAGTAATTTGAACAGTGACTTGAAGTGACATTGCATTCAAATTTATGAGAGGGCTTAACTGTAACGTGACTCGGCTGCAGCAACCTGCTCAAATAACTGATAATATCACAATCATCAATATGAACACAGACAATAATTTAAATACTCCAGTTTTAGAAAATCTGAAGATTCAGAATGTGGATTATTAAATCAATCATGGTTAAAGTATCGTTTCTGCATTTTTCCAGTGGTTACAGGCGGAGATCAGTGTAGATGCCAAAAAGCAAGATCATCCTAATCCCCCTGGAAGGCTGGATTCAGGCTGGATTTACAAACATGAAAGGTGTCATATATTAACATGAAATCATGGTATAATTGGTAAGGATACTATAATGTAGTCATAAATACAGATTTTTTAATTTTTTATTTTAATTAGCAAATCTTAACAAATATTCATGTTCCCTCTTTGATTATTTTCTCCATCTCTGACTTTTGTGTTAAAACTCACAGTTATGATAGTTTTAGAGCCTGTTTGTCTCATTTAATTGAACATTATTAAATACATTTAATTTTGAATTTAAATACACTTGATGCAAATGCAGACCATACAGCTTAAATTGGAGATCCTAAAGACCATTAATATACAATAATAATAAAGTAGTGAACACACACACACACACACACACACAACCACATACATATACATACAGTGTATATGACTCACTGTTTTTAAAAGATTTCTCTTATAAATGTATAACATCCTCCATCTTTTTTTTCTATTTTTCCCTCTCACTTTTCTTCTCCCTTGCAATGTAACCTCTGATTTCTCATTCTATGCCCAGTGAAAGGCTGGATATCGACAGAGAGAGAGAGTAGAGGAGAGGAATGTATCCTTTGCTATTTGTCTGTGAAGGTGCTGCAGCTGCCCGCCATCCATTAGAGACCATTAGTGCCGACAGTCCTGAATTTTGTTCATGGCAGACAGTTGTTGTTGTCAACATCAAAGAGCGGTGTATTTGTATTCCACAATAACTACTTACTGAATCTACAGCCATATTTTTTCTCATTTAGTCTCTCTCTGCATATAGAAAAAAAGAAAGAAAAAGAGACAGAAAGCAAAGCTGTGAGATAGTTGTGTTTTATACATTTGATTGCCTTTATCTCAGCAGAACTAGTACCTTGAGACGTGACAATTATGAGATGGCTAAAGCAGTTGCAGTTTGATATTCAGGAACCAAGAGGGGGCGGAAAGATTTCTCATCTTATTACGAGCGCTGATGACCGTCGGCTCAGATGAGCCATCCATGTTGAGTCTCCCCTGAATGCAGCCGTGACTGATCAGATAACAGAGAATAAATGGCCATAACTCCAAAGCCACCAGACTCTCTGTTCCCAAACCGTATATTCAGAAAGGGACAGAGGCGATTGGGGAAGCGTCTGCTATCTATTTTTAAAGAAATCTGTCGAGGATGAAAAGCAAGGCACATATTTGAAAAGGAAAACTGAGACAGGGAGAAGCTG